TAGATTGCACAAATGAATTAGAGATAAATAATGTTTTTTAAATCAAAGAACCAATAACGCAGGATAAAGAAAATGATGTCAAGGGAAAAGATGGCGAGGAAAGTAAACTCACGTCTGTAATGATGCCGCGTAATGGAAATAGACAATAGAATAAAGCTTTTGTAAACTCCAAAAAGGCTTTTGTCTGTAGACAATAGAATAAGGCTTCTGTAAACTCTAATAGAATAAGGCTTCATTATCACAACGATACAAAAATTTGTGGTTCTTGCAATAGGTCTTGTCTTAGATGTTGTTCTTCAACAATAATGTTGTCTCTATTTGAGATGAAATTTCGTAGTTTCTCTTATCTTAAAGGAGGGTGTAAGAGGTCAGATGACAATGTGAGATGTACAAATTTATATTAAATGATAAACAATTCTAATATGGGATACATATGCTAATTGATTTTCCAATCTAATTAGATGCAAAACGCTTCATAAAATTAATTTGTGAGTGAATGAGTAGTTTTAAATAAAAAATTTAGTAATTTAAAGATGAGTTCTTAATTGTTTTGTTCTCAATTATCATCTTCACTATCAGAAGCTACTGCAATGCAACTAAAAGAAATCTCACTTTGTTGTTCTGCAGACAAATCAGAAAGAATTAACAAATATCAAGAAAATGCATGTATAATCTTACTCAATGTAACCAAAATCAAAACTAAAAAAAAAAGTTAAATCTGAACGTCAAAAAGTTAGAACCTCATGAATTTGGCCAGTTGAACTTTAAAAATACCTGCAAATGAAGACTTCAACCTCATTGCATGTAATTTTATTTCTTCATTTTACTGAGAGTTCTGCACATTTATACATTACAGATTTGAACTATTTTATGCGAGCAAGCTGATAAATACGAATAGGCTGCTTCGTATTTGAGGCTAGTGATAATCTTAAATAATCTTACTCAAAGTCAAAGTCGAAAATACATGGTATATCAAGTAAATTATTTATTTTAATTTAACATATTTAAATTTAAATTATATATATGGTATAATCTTACTCATCGCAATTTAAGTCTATGTTAAAAAAACAAAAAAAAAATTACCGCCCAACTCCGTGCAGCACGGAGACACCGTGGTGTCTCCATGCTAGATGGAGACATCGTGTCTCCGTTCTAGATGGAGACATGGTCCGTGTCTCCATCTAGCATGGAGCATTTTTTTTTGAAGAGTGATAACAAATTAAGAATTTTAGATATTATAACGACCGAAGAAAATTTTTTTGGCTACCAATAACAATTCTTTAAAGTAACATACAAAATTGAGATCCAAACCTTTATTAAAAAAAAATGGAAGAAACAGATGCAGAACTTCTATCAAACAACTTGACATCAGCTTTCATTTTTCATGTCATTGTAAACCAAAGGTTGATACAACCAAGTCATAGTAGTAAACCCAAAAAATTCCAAATAATGTTTTTTTTATCACAATACAAACAGAAAAGGGACAAAATTCCAGGAAAAACCAAAAATTTGCGGAGTTTCTTACACATTTGATGGCTGGTAAGTTGTATTTCTCTCACGAAGATCTGGTCCTTACTTTGCAACAGCTTCTTGCTCTTTATTCTCTCTGAGGACACCATTACAGTAGCCATTTTCATCTTCACTTCAACCAAAAGACCCGTTTCAACTCAAATGGTCAATATTTAGTTTCTACAGTAAAATACATGTATAATCTTACTCAAAGTGATAATTATAAATAATCTTACTCAAAAAAGTCGAAAATGCATGGCATATCAAGTAAATTATTTAGGCCCTGTTTGGGAGGGCTTTGATTTTTTTACAGTAAATCAATTCTCATTTTCAACCACACATTTTTCAATAAAATAATATTTTCTATCACATCAATAATTTTTTCTTCTTTTTCAACCACACATTTCCCATCATATCACTATTCAAAATCAATTCTTCCTTCAAATATCTCTCACAAACAAGCTCTTAGTTTAATTTAACATATTTAAATTTAAATTATATATATGGTATAATCTTACTCATTCTATGATAAAAAAAAAAAAAAAAAATTACTACCAGAGCTCCGTGCTGCACTGGACGAAGCTGGCTCCCAGCGCGGAGCCTGGCGATTTTTTTTCCCTTCTTGCAATAATAAATTCTAAGACTCAGATGAAATCTATATTAGTTTACCATCAAACATTCAAAACTATAACTTCTATTTTGTAGAAATCTATGCAAAATTTTTTTATATTTTTCATTTCTTTTGTAAGCTGAATAATCATTTGCAAAAATTCTAATGGAGTGATTGGTAATGAATTTAAATAATACCATCCAATATTCAAAAATCACACATTAGACCAAAACAAATATCTCATCTTCGTTTATTAAGCTTACCTGACCACCTGCATTTCGTTCATCAAGCTTGAATTCTGGAAGTATGCAATGAAGGATAACATGCTGACTTGGGGAAGAACACCATTACCCACCACTTCTATGTACTCCATTAACCCAGCAACACACACCACCACTGTCGTCTATGCGACAGTTCGATAAAAATGTTCGGGCAGAGTTTGGAGACAGAGATGTTAGAGTCGCTGAGGGAGGAGGCTTTTCTTTTTTTCGAGCGGCTGGGCATTTTTCCAGCTTATGAAGCAAGGAGTAAGCCTTTTGGTTGTGCGTGATTGAATTCAAAATTCTGGGCGGTATTCAATTCTAAAAATCTGCAAAAATTTTTTTTATCTTGGGCGGGTGGAGGCCAGAATTATGGGCGGGAACACTGTTGCGGAACTATCCTTCTTTAATATAGTATAAGATTTATAAAACAAAATTTGCGACTCTTACTTTCGTGTATTTATGGAGATGTAATCAATTCTTTAGACGTGTTCAACTCTTTCATTTTTTTGATTTGTTTATCTATGATATATTAAATATCACATCATGTGAGAATATTTTTTTGAAAAATTTTAGTCATACTATAATTTAATTATTTCAATAATATCATACTTTTAGTTTTTTAATATATATTTAAATATTTAACCATTTAATTGTCATCAATGTACGTGTACATTTGACAAATTCATTTCACATGTGTGCTTTCATTAATATATATGAATTTTCTATTAATAATTCTGAATTAATTAACATTCGTATTCATTTAATTAATATTTATTTTTATTCATGCATGTAATGTTATTAATTCTAATTACAAGTTAATTAGAATTTCATATTTAAGAATACATTTCATTATTCAGGTCTATGTATGTTAATTAATATCCAATTTTATTTAATTGAAAATTAAATAAATAATTTAACTTTCATTGTCACGTATATATTTTATGATATCAATTCTAAATTAATAAACATTCACGTATATTTAAATATTACTTTTACAATATTTATAAAGTATTTTATAATAACGTGCGATACACGTTCAACGTAAACTAAGTAGTATAAGACTTATTTATTAAAGTTCAAACAAGCACACGTCATAAATCACAACAATAATGATCCCTTCACAAATAAGCATTTCGTCATCTATTTGATTCTTAGCAGGTGTGCAACTCTTTCATTTATTGATTTATTTATATGGCGATACTTAGCCCCTCTTTGGGCTCCATTAAAAATGTAATTTGGGAAAAAATATATTTTAAAATAGTAATTTTCTAGAAAATCTGTGATTATTTTTAAAAATTCCAAAAATAATTAATTAATTAAAATAGTAATTTTAAAAGTTGTTTTCTATATAATATAATTAACCAAACCCATCTCCACCACCCTGCCGCTCCGACAATCGTCCGGCGACCGTTCCGGCGATTGCTCCGATTCCGACGACTATTCCAATAGCCGTTTCCGGCGTCGATTTATTCCAGCGACTGCTCCGATTCCATCAATTGTTCCAACTCCGGCGAATATTTCGGCGACAACTCCGTCATATTTTTTTTGTACAGTTGACATGATTTTTTTGTACAGTTGTGACCACTATCAGCACATCGCTCGCATTTGATGGTCACAGCCCGGTCATAAGTGACAACGCATGGTTGTTTGTTTATAATGATTGATAACATGATAAGGCTTATGTCTCACATTTTTGTTAATAGTCACGAGTTATTTTCAAATGGTCACAGCACAAGTCACAGAATATATTGCACGTGGCTCAGGATTTTGTTCATAGTCAAAAGTTATTTTCAAATGGCCACAGCACATGTCACAAAATATTTTTGCACATGACTCAGGTTTTTGTTGATAGTCACATGTTTATTTCAAATGGCCACAGCATAGGTCACATAACAATTTGCAAATGGCTCATGTTTTTTTTTATATTCACAGGTTAATTTCAAATGGTTACAGTGCAGGTCACACGGGTTTTTTGCACATGGCTCAAATTTATTGTTAATGGTCACCGTTTAATTTCAAATGGTCAATCGATTATAACTTGTTCATAGTTTATTTGTAGGTCACATATTTTCAAATTAGTTGGTCACAGATTTTCTAATGGTCACATATACAAAAATTTGTAGGTCACAACTAATTCGTCGATCTCATATTTCTAAATTTATATGTCACACAGTGATTCTTTCACAGTCACAGATTATATAATTTTTAGGTCACATATAACAATATGGTTAGTTACAAATTAACCAACACCCCACTTCCACCTCCGATCATGATCGCTGTAAATTTTTAGTTGCTTTTCACGGTATAAAAAATAAAACTTTTGACTGATCCAGTTCTCTTTATTTTCACAAATTAAAACTTGAAATCTGATTTTAGAAAATAGATCTTGAAAAGTAGGGTAATTTACTTAAATTACCTCTTCATTCTTCATGGACTCGGTTTCTTTAGTAACTGATATAATTCGAAAACTATTTCAGTAATTTCCTCTTCATTCTTCATGGACTCGATTTCTTTAGCAACTGATATAATCTGGAGAAGTTCCAAAGGAGTAGCTGCATGGTCCAATTCCCGACAACCCTTGAGAGCATTTAATCCTTCTTGACCAGTGAGAAAGCGGAATGGTACTAGATGAGAAACCGAGACATTTCTTCCCTGGGAATTCTTTTTATTTCCCTTTGACTCAGAAGCTGATGGAACATTGCCTTATACCCAACAACTTTAACTGGGCGAATGACAACTACTCCCAGTTCTTCATCATAGTCTTCAAGTACTTCCACCATGTCATATTTATGCATTACTACGTCTTCTATAAGTTCATCCCATTCGGGCGACCAATTCCTGTACAGAGCCCAGACATCCCCCTTCCGAGGAAGTATCAGATGATCCCATTAGTGCCTTTTGTCCATTTAACCTTGTGAGAGAATAGATCCGCCACCTTCTACGCGCTGAGAAAGAGAGATAGGGGGTGGGGGTGAGGGTGAGGGTGAGGGAGTTAACGCCACCACAGCCACTCCAACGAACGCAGTCGCCTCTACAGATGCTCCATCAAGTCGCCGTTGACGGAGATGGAGAAAAGTGAATTTAGGGTTTGATTTGGGATGAAATTAATTGGGATGAAATTAAAATGTAATTTGTATATATATATATAT